GCAGCTGCTAGTTAGCCTTCCGAATCCCGATGTCGTCCTTAAAGATGCAAATGACAAAGACCCTGTTGACTTAGAGGTAGGTGAAATTTAAGCGATAAATGTCTGTTTTACTCTTTCATGGTACGTTTATACAAAAGGAGACAGATGATGAGAATTGAGAAAGTGACCAAATATAAAATTAAGATAAAAATTCCTGGAGTTTAAAGGATTATTTCAAGCTTCTTTCATCGTAAATTAAACTGGTCGCTTTCGCCGTGAGAGGAGGAGTATGTGATAAATCACTCCATTTTGGCATTTACAATAAACCGCGTTCTCGAGTATTGAGTCTAATCACTTGTTAGAAAATCGCTCTGATACTGCGAAGGTCTGTTTCGCTTCTTTTAGAATGGGAAGGTGGTTCTATACAGTTATATATACTTAAATGAATTTGACTTCACCTTCGATCGTGTTGCGCCGAAAACTTTGATGATTGTGCGAGGCAATCTGAGGAGAACGAAAACGCAGGGTGTCGTGTCAACTACCCACTATAACCCCCTTCCCTTGTCAAGCTCTTTTTCTCTATGTTTATAACACTTCATAATGGTGTATTGAATGTGAAGAGGATGGATACGTTGCTCACAAGGTCCTCTCCTTTAACCTATTTTTTTAAAGATTATTGAAGTGTTTCCTTTCGTTTCAGTATACCACAATGGATAACATTTTCCGATCCGACGAAACGAGCTCACCGTATATTACTAAGATACAAGGTTTCGCCCTAAAGCAAGGAAAGCGAGAGATCAAAATACAAAATCTCACCGATGATCTTAAAGTCAACATACTCACCGATTTGAAAAGCGTGTCTAGCCGCTTCAGCGAACAGTTCTCAGCCGACACGGAAAAAAGTCATCGTTTCCAGTCTCCACCCGGTCAACCGTACACGCCACTGCTAGTTTACGTTAAATCGGACGACAACACAACCTTAACTGGCCTGCTTCATATCACTTTTGAAGGAAGAACGTCTAGCAAGTACATGCTTCGATTCTCTCCCACGTTCCCTGATGAGGACGTCTCTGCAACTTTTCGGAAAGTCGACAACTTTACTTACATGGCCTGGGGACTACCTCAAAGACCTGTCTATTTCAACTTGACTGTCAAGGTACCTGGGCTGCTTGCAGAGGAAAAACCACGTGTTGTGAATTACACAGTGGCCATTTATCCTGTGCGATGTATGTATTGGGGTATGGAGGAAAAGAAATGGCTTGATGAGGGATGCAAGGTGAGGACAAATTTATCAAAGATTATTATATTCTACTTCTTAAGAATAGAGTACTTCGAGAAGCTATGTTAAGTAGAGAGTGTGAACGGAGAGCACTGTGATAATCAATTAGAATCTATATTGGCGTGCTTCACTTCAGTTAAAGTCACATGGTTTCCAAATGTGGCAAGAACAAAAAAGTGGCAAACAAGGCGAAGCTAAGTTTGTCACTGGTGTTCTAAGTTCATTTTGACGTCATCTGTGATCTGTCACTGAACAGGCACGCGGTAACATGGAATCTATTTGTTTTACATGATAAAAAAACGCTAAGTTTTGATAATGGTGAAGTCATCTATGCATCTGCATTCTAATAGATCGTAGGTTGTAAAAATGCAGGTGTAATTCAGCTTAGCATATATAATTGAGCACTAAATCCTACTTTTTATCAGATCGTTTTCTCGGCGTAAAAACTTGCACTGGATGTTGGGGAGAACACGAGAAATTTTTCTTTATCCCGAGTCAAAGATTAGTGCAGTCGATTCCGTTTTTAGCTAACGTAAGTACTGTTAAGTGATAATTTGTGACCTATTTTGGTCAGGTTGGTGAGGCGACTTCAATCGCTGCCACAAACTGCCTGTGTAACCACGCCACTTTTTTTGGTTCCCTGAACGTAAAACCTAACCCTATTGGTCCTCTGTCATACGCCAAACTTAAAGATGGGTATGCCATGCTGGTGTTTGTCAGCATCATCTTTGCGCTGTATTTCCTAGCCCTTATTTGGGCAAGAAGGAAAGACAGAGCTGACGTCGTTAGGGTAAGTGTTAATTTCTTTGAATATTTTCCAGGGGGGAAACAAGCGATTAAAGAATGCAACAGTTTGTAGGGTGGGAAGGGGGTTGGCTTTAGTTAACAGCGATTTATTTGGAAAGAAAGGTCGTAAAAGGTCAGAAAGAGAGAATAAAGACCAAGTGAATTTGCATGATGATGATTTCTTTTGGTTCACGTTCTGCTGAATGTTCAATTTTATATTGATTAGATAGACCCCGTGTTTTGGAACTAAAGTTATCCATTTATTCCTTCGGCAATTAGAGACGTATTCAGAGAAATCCTGTAAATACGAACTTCTTCTAGGCCATAAACGTTCAGTTTTAATAGGACATATCGACGTAATCATATCGACGGGTTGGTTTTATGGTGAGGGTCTACTTTTCTTGGGTCCAGGCTTATTAAGGAAAGAATGGGCCGACCAAAAACATAGAAAGCTTGCCTTTTAATTCAGCCCCAAAAATTGAATATACGTATCCTTTTTTCATTTAGGTTGGTGTCTGTCCACTACGGGATAATGAGCCCTCAGACCCGTACCGTTACGAGGTGACTCTATGGACGGGCATGCGCCGTAATGCTGGCACTAAATCCAAAGTCAGCATTATACTGTACGGTGACGAACAGGACAGTGAGGCGCGCGCTTTGCATGATCCTGAGAGAAACCCTTTTCAACGTGGTAGCCAGGACTCGTTTCTTCTGACCACGCCCTTTGACTTAGGCTCCATTCATTACATCCGGGTGTGGCACGATAACGCAGGTGGCTCGTGGTTTCTGAGTCGAATTATGGTGATTGATCTACAAACAGAGGAGAGATTTTACTTCATCTGTAACAGGTGGCTGGCTGTGGATGAGGAAGATGGCCAGGTATGATGTGGTGGGGTGTATCTATGAAGTAAGGTTGTAAAGTGCATACGACACCCTCTTTCTTGAGGAGAGAGACAATTTAGGATGCTTCTAAATTCCACTGGATCCGGCTTCTCATAGCGCTCCGCAACTCTAGAACCTGCGCAAACCCCTTGCTGTTGAACGCCCCAAGAAGTTGATCTGATATCAGGGAAACTTAAAACATTTTACGATGGAGGAAGAAACCAATTTGAAGAATACCGTTTGTGATCATATTTAAAGCGCATACCGATTGATTGTCCCTCAGCAATGTAGTTACAAGGAACCAAACAGCCTGTAGCCTGGTGCATGGAAATGCGAGTGACCAAGTCCACTTGGTTTTAGTCTTGGATCTTATTTGAGAGATTTTTATTTTTATTCTCTGGTTAGGTTGAACGTCTCGTTATGTTGGCCAGTAAAGCGGAGCTTACAGAGTTTGGTCATCTATTTGTTGCCAGAACGCGCCGTAACCTTAGCGACAGTCATCTGTGGTTCTCAGTCCTCGCCCGTCCAGCCGGCAGTCGATTCACGCGAGTACAGCGGTTGTCCTGTTGTCTGTGTCTTCTACTTATGTCAATGATGACCAGTGGTATGTACTACGGCCCACGAGGCGACCCCTCCAACACGCAGCAAATTGGCTCCATTGTTTTCACCTGGAATCAGGTGAGTTCCACATTCAAATCGTAACGTATTGTTTACTGTCCACAGGTACGCAATACGTGCAGAATATTAAAATAAATGAGGACTCGTTTGTTAACCAATTTTTAATTCAATCCGTACAGGTGCTGGTCGGGATCGTTTCGAGTCTCATAGTCTTCCCAATTAACCTGATAGTGGTGCAGATCTTTCGCAATGTCCGACCTAAACCAAAAGTCAAGCCGAAAAAGCCACCTCCCACCCCTTGTCTGCCGACTCTTTCCTTTGATAAGGACAGCCTGGACAATTACAATAACCTGAAAGAATCGTCGGACGACTCTGCTAAGGGATCGAGAAACAGTCTAGATTTCTCACGAGAAAAGAACAACAAGACTCGGTTGTCAATTAATGATGTGCATACTGACGTGGACCGCACAAGTTTTACCGACAGCCCACTGCTGATTGATCGTAGGCTCAGTACCACATACGACATCGGTAAGGAAACACGTTGGCGTCTCACTAAAAATTTTCTTTTTTTTTTATTTATAGAGGAGTTGAGGCAATCTTGACTGCAACAGTGCTTCGCGCTGCTTTTAGAAAATTTAGAGAAGAAAACAACTGTGATTTCTATTGTTGAGTGTGAACTACTACTATTACAGGATACTTATACAAATTGATACCATTCGTCACAAGGCTGAATTTTTATCTAGTCTCCTTCGCACCTGTATTCTGGGATGTCATGCGACGACATCCAAGGGGGAGCATAACGTGACATCCACATAAACGGCGGCGAGCCTAACACTTACATGAATTACAACGGTCCCATTCGTCTCCGGTTTTTTTCTTTTTTTCTTGCTATCTATCCTATTTTTTCACTTTTTAGAGAGTAGTCATTATTTATCACCTGGGGGCTTGGAGGATTTTCTTTTCTTTCCTTTGGGGGGGGGGGGTAGGCAAGGGGGTCGTATAGTTTTCAGGGGGAACAAAGGGGAGAGTAGTCGTCACCAACAGAGTGTAAAAGTGATCTGTTCCTTATATAATTTCATTGATTTCTTCCACTATCTTTCGCCACCGTTGTGAATCATTTTATAACCGGCGCCGACACTGCGTAAATTCAAAGGCATCGAGGGAATACTCAATGACATTTCCCTCTTTTTTTAGCTCCTACGTCCCGTGCACGCCGCTTGCTGTTGTGGTTCAAGAAGAAAAACACGTTGCCTTTTTACTTCGTGTACGTGGCATGGTTTTTCGTCTTCATCTTCTCAGCTGGGTCAGCCGCTGTAATTGTATTTTACGGCATGGAGTTTAAAAACGAAAAGTCCTTGCAGTGGTTATTTTCGTCCTGTGTGTCTTTTGTTCAAGATGTGTTCATCACTCAACCCCTCAAGGTAAGCCTTTGACACCTAGTTCATTTTCTCTCAGGTACCGGTAATTTATTTAATGCCGGGGGGGGAGGGGTCGGATGATTTTGGTTGTGTCACATTAACATTTGCCTTGATTTTCCTACAAGGTCTGTAAATGTTCTTATGATACACCCCATTGGCAGTTAACTGGCAGTCAAATGTTCCACAGTCCCCCCTTTTATACTCTGCTGGTGACGACTGATCCCCCATCGTTCTCCCTGAAAACCATGTGATCCACCCCAGAAGTCCTCCCCTCCCCCCCCATCCCTCAGGTACA